GTTTCTTTTGAAGTGAAATATTATTAATTTTATTTAAATAAAAAGCTAGTTAGTTTTGTTCACAATTTGTTTAGTTAGTTTCCCTTATTTTTTTCTCCAAAAGAACCGATAAGAGTACCGTTAAAAGTAGTAGTACCGTTAAAACCTTAACGATACCCATCCCCACTCACAAGTATGTAGTCCAGGGGTCACCAACCTTTTTTAGGGTGAGGGCTACTTTAAAAAATGAAACAAGTCGGGGGCTACTTTTACTCCTCTTTTTTTGTTTTTTGCAGTGTATATATTTAGCACATTTTAACATTATTATATGGTTACCTTTAACCTTTGTGTGCTGTTTGGGTCTGTGGGACCAGTTTGCAGTGTTTACTAAAAGAACATGAATGCAATTTAATTATTTTTAACTGCTTTATTTGGGGGTGGACGGGTCTCACCTCCTCTAGGGGGGTCCGGGGGCATGCTCCCCGGGGAAGATGTTTTTTTACATGTTGAAGTGAAATGCATCAATCTGGTGCACTTTGAGCACACAATGAATTTATGGATACATTTCTCAACACTCATATGAAAGGGAGCTGTATACTTTTCAATGATCCAATCATCTTTAGAATATGATCACAACCAATAACAAATCATTTAAACTGGTTTATTCTTATCTTACCTAGTTAGTATTCTTTCTTTTTATTTATGCATATGTTACTAATCACTCCCCTTTTAAACTGTTTTTTTTTTTGACTGTCCTATAGTACACATTGGAATGATTTCTTACTTTATCTATATTAAATAGAAAAAGGTGTGCTCTCCCTAGCTCTCTCGCTCGCTCTCTCTCTCCCTCTCTCTCTCTCTCTCCCCCTCCCTCCCTCCCTAGCTCGCTCGCTCTCTCTGTCTCGCTCGCTCACAGAGGCTGTGTGCTCCTCCTTGGCGATGACGGTTTGCGTTAAAAAATAATAATAAACATATTTGTAAAAAACATGTCCCCCCTGTCCCCAGTGGAAATTACGCCATGCGTGTGTATGCGTCAAGTCTAATAAATAAATATGCAAGTTGCAACACACAGAGTAAAACTCTGCCCCTCATGTGCTGTATAGGCTGGCATGATAGGCTGTTCAATGGGGCTGATAGGTTGTGTAGATTCTGCCAGAAGAAAAATCAGCGGTGAGCTGCCGCTCCACATTGCTTTTCTTCCCGACTGCAACACTGGTCCCGCAAATCAAGCAAGAACGTGATTGGTCGATATTCATCGTGGGGGTGGGGGGAGGAGGGGTGTTAGATAGATATAGAGTTGTAGTAAGTAGATAGAGTTCGCTATGATTTAGGTTTCGTTTATGCATAGGGTAGATTCTTTTAATTACATTTCCTTTTTTGTTTTGTGTATTTTATACATTTTGGATTTGCTTGGCGAGCTATTTTTAGAACATGCCCCGCGGGCGACTCACGTTGCCCCTGCGGGCGACTAAGTTCCCGCGGGCGACTAAGTGCCCGCGGTACCGTGTTGACTACCCCTGATGTAGTCCAACTGACGTAGCATACCTGTGGCTCGATCTTGGAAGGTCCATCTCTTGCCTGTTATTTTCCTGCCAGTAACTCGTGTTCCATGAGAAGGGCCGTGAGGTATGCGCCATTGCGGTTGGTAGAGTCGTGGTATGGGTAGGGTACGTCCTCTGGTCCAAGCCTTGCGTTGAAGTCACCCAGGATTGCCAGGAAGTTGTGCACTGGGACATCTCGGACTGCTGTTGCAAGGTCCTCATAGAACTTCTCCACCTCCTCAGATGGTGCCACGTTGGTGGGTGAGTACACAACTATGACTGTTGTTACTGGGTGGCCTGAGAACTCTGCAATAAGGATCCTATCGGTGTGATGATAAACCCGACGGAGAGCCTTACGCGCCAGAGGACCCAGCATTAGCCCTACGCCCCCTGTTGCAGCCTGGGCCTCGTTTCGCCACGCAGATGCAGTGATGAACCTGCATCTCTCCACTCTGCAATACACGATCAGGTCATCAGTGTGCACTCTTCTGTGTTCCTGGATTCCCAGGATCTCCACTCCCCGTTCCTCAGCACAGTGTGCTAGTTCTACCAATCTAGCTTCTTCTCTCACAGTACATGCATTGAAGGTTCCCATTACGAATGGTCTCCGACAACGCATGAGTGCATTGGACGGGGTGCTGTGATCGGACAGGACCCTCCCTTGCTGGTTTGGGGTCACGTTGTCCTCCGGAAGGAGGACCAGCACCACCATCCGCTGCGATGTTCCTGCGGACTCCCGCCATTGGAAGTATAGGATTTGAGATGACTTTGTTCTTCATGGTAGGCATTACTATGCTGATTAAGGACTGGGGGGCGCAACTCCTCTTAGTCCTTGTTTTAGTTCAGAGTGTCCTTCTCCTAGATAGGTTGCCTTCCATGGCTATGAGCCCCATCTGCTCCTGCTATTTGCCCATAGCTGGGACAGTGGTTGGCAGGCGCCAGGGCGTGTCCACACACCGGTGGGTCTGCGCGCCTTGCCTCTGGGGCCCACTGTTGCTCCGAGATCCCCTACAGTTTAGCCTGGGACCTCACGGTACCCAGTTACCGTGTGTGGCCGCGAGGAGGCACTGCAGAAGTCTTGGCGGTGGAGCGGCTTTGTACCAGCAGGAGGAGACTTACACACTCGGCTCCTCTTTTCACCCTCCGCAAGGAGGGCTAGCCGGCGGCAGTAGCTGAAAGCAGAGTAGCAAGCAGAAGCAGCATGCACTAACTACAAGCACTACTACCACAGATCTACTGCACTACGCATCACACAGCCCTGCATGCAAGCACACACACAAATTGTTACTTTGTAATTCTACTCCACTACAATTCAGAGGTTAACCTGGTATTTTTACTCCACTACATTTATTTTAGTTACTTTGCAGATTCTGATTAATGATGTGAAATATAAACAACCCTTAAATCAGAATTTTACACCTGAGTAAAATTCAGGGCAGGTGATTGTCAAGCACTAACGATCAGGTGAGATATTTGATAGTTGGTGCTTGAGAAGACTAAACATTTATCTGCAGATCCCTATAAAGTTTATTCATTACTCGTTATTCTCTACTAATAGTTGATTAAAGACTGTATATAATGGCTATTTTGCACATCCCTTTCAAGATTTCAAGATTTTCTAAGGTTTATTGACATATCATATACACCACTACGTTGAAGTTATGCTATGAATGAAAAACAACATTAACTTTGTATTATTAGTGAAGGACACTTATGTATGTATAACATCTGAAGATGTATAGTTTTATTCATGTTTTCACATAATTTTACAGGATATTGCTATATTTAATTTGTTTTACTTCTACACATTAATATCTGATTTGTAAAACATCACAGACAGAAAGGTATGTGTCATTTAATGGTAAGCTATTGAAATTCTGATTCCATAGATGTGTCTCCCATCACCCGCAACCCCTGACTATTCTTTCAACTCAGTATTTACATTCTTTAATTCAAAGAAAATCAGTAATGTCTTTAAAAACTACAAGTCCCTTTCTATCAGCTGTGCACCGTTATGGTGTAAATATAACCATCTACCAATTGGATCAAATATAAAAGTCAGCCAAATTAATGTTGATACTGCAAGGAGACGTTTTGTGTGAAGAGAAATTGAAGATGTTTAATTGTTGATATATTTATTATGATCCACGTCACGTATTCAGTTTCGGTGGCAGTTCCAGTTTGTCTAAGTCTTCTCATCAGGGCTCTATAAATAAAGAACTACGGCAAATGTGTAATATTTAATGCAGCCGAACCGTGTATTACAATGCCGTTATGTGATGACTTTCAAAGAGAAAAGCAAGCACACTCGGAATAAATTATTATTTTCTTTTTTTTTAAATGTTTTTCGGATTTCATATCGCATTAACACCATATCCCAACGTGCATTGCGGCTAAACAATCCAATCACCAAGCTTAAACCATAGCTGAGGATCTTGGGTAATCAGTTCAGTGGGTGTGTCTCTGTTTCCGGTTATTTTATTTTGAAATTCAGTCCTCGCATCGCTATTTTTTGCAAACTTTGCAGGAGGCTACTCGTGGGCTTGACCCTCGTCTTAGTCATGGCTTGTATTTGTCTTCTGCTAGCCAACGCTCGTTGAAACTGCAACCTCCTGGCATACTATCCTCTGTCTATCACTCTCATCAGAATGCCCAGGTCACACGTAACAAAAACACTTGCCTGTCACGCGCATTGCGCGGGAAGGCCGGAGCAGAGCTGTTTTATGTAAAAGCGAAGCAATTAAGCGCGCTCTGACTTCTTTATTTTCTTTTAACCTAAAAAGTGAAGTAAAGCATGTACAATTTCAAGCACTTTATCCCAAATTCAAGCACCATTCCCAAAATTCAAGCACTTTTCAAACCTTGAAAACACCTCGTAGAATTTCAAGCATTTTCAAGGATTTCCAGCACCCGTACACACCCTGAATAGAAATACATTGCTTTTGAAATCGTTCTGTGTGACACGAAAAAAAAGGGGGAAATCGTGTTGGTGAACACGAATCAATAGATTAAATGTCGTGACTATAACACGAAATGCCGTGAGACTGGGTTGTCCTGTCCCCTCGTGGTCCAGTAGGACTCAGAAGTTGCACTTTTCCTTGTTCATGTGATGTTTGGTGTTGTTTTGTTTCTTTCCGTTAACTGTCAAGTGGGAACTAAGTATTTGTTTAAAGTTTTTGTGTTTCTCTTATTTTCCTCCTTGAAAATATGAAGGAAAGACCATCTATTTCTATTTATTTATTTATTTTGAGAAAGGGGCAGGTAATATCAGATTATTTTCTTCTCCCTGCTTCTTTTCGGGTACGGTGTGTTTATAGAGACATGGTTTGTAACTAATTGTTATACATTAAGTTGTGCATACCATGAACGGAACAAATACAAAAAATGAAATGGTGTTTTATTTTGCTTATTAGATATTTCCACAGGCTCACGAACAAAGTAGGTGTTTTGGATGCTATCTCAGATCTGTGTATTTCTCACCCGCTGTTGATGAGGTCGTATCTCAGACTGCCGTTTGGAGACGACTGGCTGGTGGCCCAGCAGGAGTCAGTCACGATGGAGACTCTGTTCTCGTCCAAACCCTCCGTCTTCAGCTCTAACCAGATCCTCTGGTTCAGCAGCAGCTCTGTCTCTGGCTTCACGACATACAGGAGGTTCTGGTCCAGGTAGGCGCTCATCTGCAGGGTGTAGTTCCACTCTCCAGAGGTCAGCCCCTGCACCACAGAGCTGCAGAACACACACACACACACACACATGTAATTTGATTTATTTCAAAGAACTTACTTATTAACAATAATACAAACAAATTATTATTTTACGTTGAATGTCATATTTTACAAGACAAATACAAAAGACTATCTCTGTACATCCACCATCCAAAATACATTTGTTATTAAAAACACACGCAGTATAGCGGTGTGAAGCTTGGAGCTGCGGTACTTTAAGGACCAGGAGAAGCTCACCTGTCTTTGATCCTGAAGGCGAAACTCTTGATCTCCGGCTCTTTGTACAGGCAGGAGAAGTCGATCTGGATCTGGTTGTGACGCGTGATCACGCCGTACTCTGACATGTTCCTCGTCATGATGGCGTTCTTGTAGAGGATCATGCTGTTGTTTTTCTGCAATGTGAAAGAAAACGTTAAGTTAATTTAATCACAGCACTCACATTATCCTCGTGGTCATTAACAGTCCTGACAGAGAAATCTCATGGTCTCCAGTTTGAGCTTCAAACAGATCTATTTATTTCTGATCCTCTCAAGAATGGAAGTAGTCATCACATACAGAGCATCAAGTAGTTCCTGAACAGTGTCCTTCACATGCTGATATACAAGAGAGGGAGTTACACAATCACAAGATGGAGGAATAGAAAGCAGTATTCAATGTTTACTTCAGATTAGCTCCACGTCAGAAATGAGCATGCTTGTCATATGTCTATCTCCATAGAGGCTGAATCATCATATTAATCACATCGCTATCATATGCCTCAAACAGTCCTGATGCTCTTCTAGGTAATCAGACATCCTGTCATGTACCCAGCTACAGTTGGGATACCTTTGTTATCATGTTACTCTCATATTGGAAGAGGACATTCAGGAATCTTCTAAATACGTTCACTCACCACGACCTCCGTCCCGCAGATGTTGCTGCTGTCGAATCCGAAGGTCACCATGTGGGTCTCGTTGTCCATTTGGCCCTTGCAGTTGGGGTCGTTCAGGTGTAAAACTGAGTAATCGATGCCTTTGTCAGCCAGAAGACATCCAGCCAGAGTCACAGAGGCCGACTCCTCCCTGCACACCGCCGGCTCGCCTGCAAACACACCAACACTTCAGTAAAGATCAGAAGTTTCTAACTAAACTAAATATATGTTTTCTGATGAAGCTAGAGTTGAGCTACACGTCAGCATCAGAATCCCTTTATTAGTCCCACAGAGGGGACGTTAACATTGTTACTGGGTGCAAAAATTACACAATTTACAAAATACACATCCTGTAACAGTTGAGGATTTAGCAGCCAGGTATATATTGCACAGTTATTAACGGCATATATATATGTTGCACATTGTTGGTATTTAACAACAAGGGTTGTTATAGTCTGTGTTGTTGTGTTCTTGTGTGTCATTGCTGTGTGTTTCTGTACCTAAAGAGTTGGTTGGCGTGTATTTGGAGGCGAACACACCCCGACAGAGGCAGTGGCCACGCCCCCTTTTCTCTCCACAGAACTCATGTTCACTGCAGAGCTGCTGACAAACAGGGACTTCAGCGACACACACACACACACACACACACACACACACACACACACACACACACACACACACACACACACACACACACACACACACACACACACACACACACACACACACACACACCACACACACACACACACACACACACACACACACACACACACACACACACACACACACACACACACACACACAACACACACACACACACACACACACACACACACACACACACACACACACACACACACACACACACATTTCACATCTCTGGCTACAAAATGTTTAAACTACTTTTTCTTTGTTCTGTTATCAGATTCTGGGCGATTGTAAAAGTAAATCTTACAGCAGGTGGTTGATGACCTCCAGTCCTCCAGGGTGATGTCTGCCTTCAGACTGCAGGACTGGGCGTAAGCGTCCATGAACTGGCAGTCGACACCATCAACTAGACGGTAGTTACACAAAGTTTCTGTGCAGGCGGTGATGAACGGCTCTGGATTGGTGTGGTTGTGACAGGCGGAGAAGGGAGCCTGCCTCAGGAGATTACAGCTGTTCAGAGGGGAAGAGTTGGGGTAAATGATCAGTTTTCTGAACAGTGTCAGAAACATCCCTGCTCATATAACAACCCAGTCTCACGGCATTTCGTGTTCACCAACACTATTTTTAATCTATTGATTCGTGTTCACCAACACGATTTGCCCCTTTTTTTTTGCACAGCACGATTTTAAAAGCAATGTATTTCTACTGCCTGCAGCAGGTCTTTTTCTCCGGTCGGGTCGAGGAAGACCGGAAGCTGTGTGGTTCATAAAAACATGTTCTTACTCAATATCAAGCCACAGTTATTGCTTTTATTTGAAATCGTATAATTTCGGACTTTTGTTGCCGTCTGTGAGGAAAATAAATGGGGCTCAGAGCCTCAGGATACTGAAATCTGTATTTTTAAAATCTTTTTTTCCTTCTAATTTGTTATTCTTTTCAAAATAACACACTGTTATTTACTCACCAATAACACACAATTATCCTTGCTTTTATTTATTGGTTTAATTCCATAATCTCGGGCTTTTTTGGCGTCCGTCAGGAACTGAATTTCAAAATAAAAATAACCGGAAACAGACGTAGGCATTTCGAGCGATTACCCAAGATCCTCAGCTATGGTTTTAAGCTCGTTTATTTGATGTTTTAGCCGCAATGCATGCTGGGATTTGGTGTTTATATGATATGAAATCCGGAAAACATTTAAAAAGAATAAAATAATACTTAATTCCGAGCGCTCTTGCTTTTCTCTTTGAAAGTCATCACATAACGGCATTGTAATACACGGTTCGGCTGCATTGTATATTACAGATCTGCCGTAGTTCTTTCTTTATAGAGCCCTGATGAGAAGACCTTTGGAAAAACTGAGAAAATGCCGCCGAAACTGAATACTTGACGTGGATCATAAATATATTCAACAATTAAACAACATCTTCAATTTCTCTAAACACAATACGTCTCCTTGCAGTATCAACACTAATTCGGCTGACTTTTACATTTGATCTAATTCACAGATTGGTTATATTTACACCATAACGGTGCACAGCTGATATAAAAGGACTGTAGTTTTTAAAGATATTACTGATTTTCTTTGAATGTATGTAAATACTGAGTCTGAAATAGTATAGCAATATGCTGTAAAATTATGTGAAAGCACGAATAAAACTACACATCTTCAGATGTTGTACGAAAACAAAAGTGTCCTACACTAATAATAAATAAAAAGTGATTATGGCTGTGTGTACCTTGTGTGCACCGCCTAGTGGTTAAAGCACGTTATTGAATTATTGTGTTTTATTTGATTAAAAAAATATTAAGAGTACATACTTTCATAGGGGGAAAGTATAAATATAGAATATAAAAAATCAAGAAGATACTCTAAGTGATCTCTACAATAAAACAGTTTAGTGCAGAATGTACAAAGATATTAATAGGAGGAGGTGCAAAACAGAAAAACGAATGAACCTTTATTTAAACATTAAATAACAGATTAAGGTCTTCTTTTAAATAAGAAAAAAACTTTGGGGGTATCTATCTATAGATAAATATTAAGCCTGACAAAGTACTTAACGTCTAATATATTGCTTTCCTGCAATGTTAACTATGTTGAAGCACTTATTTTAACTGATATTATACATATGAATTATACTCTTATGTATGTAGATAGAATAAGAAATGTGCAGAATATGACAGTTTAATGGTGGAGGTACACACATATTGATAGATGTCTTGTAATGCACTGTTGAGGAACCTGTGACCCAAGTGTTTCATTCATTGCATAACTACACCGTAGTTGTGTATATTATATGTCAATACACCTTTGAAAATCTTGAAAGGGATGTGCAAAATAGCCATAATATACAGTCTTTAATTAACTATTAGTAGAGAATAACGAGTAATGAATATACTTTATTACTCGTTTCCATTCATGTCAATTGCAGATACATGTTTAGTCTTCTCAAGCACCAACTATCAAATATCTCTCCTGATTGTTGGCACTTGACAATCACCTTACCTGAATTTTACTCAGGTGTAACTAAAGTCTGATTTAAGGGTTGTTTATATTTCACATAATTAATCAGAATCTGCAAAGTAACTCAAAAAAATGCAGTGGAGTAAAAATACCAGGTTAACCTCTGAATTGTAGTGGAGTAGAATAAAAAAGTAACAATGAGCTGTCATGTGGGTATTAATGCTGCGCATTATGGACACAGGCGATTTTCACCCATTTATTAATTATATGTTTTACATTTGATAACACCAATGTGTTTAATACTGGCAACTTCTAATTGTGGGGAAAACGAAAACGTTCAGTCGAGACGTCCCATAGAACATATTGCGAAACACAATAGCCAGCATGTGTAGTTCTGGGGGGGCGTTCGATTCCAGTTTTGGATAGTCTGGCGTGGTTTCGTTCCATTTCACACAGCTGTTTGACGCTCTGCGTAACCTTACGGGGACTGTAGTCCTAAACGATAGCTGGGGATTATGGGTAGTGTAGTGTCTTCGGCCATCCTAAACTCAGAAATGTTGACAATCGCAATAATGCTCGAAATGTCCCTTATAGGCCTACGTCTGTTTCCGGTTATTTTTATTGTAACGTTCCCAAGATGAGTCGGAGACAGGCTTGTAGTTATTAGGCTTTAATAACTAGTTTGAAGACAGATGATAACAGGTCAAGTACACTTCGTGGGTTCTACCGCACACTCACTTATTTCCTAAACCAACCACAAGATATAGCACTGTCCACGTCACAACTCCCCGCCCTCCCCCGTCCGCTCCACCAACCACAGGCCCGCACCTCAGCCACCATCACGGTGCAGCTCTATGATTGGCAGAGAGACGGGGGATGCCTAAGTGACACCCTGAGTAGCCTATCAGGATCGCTACATTATTTTGAAATTCAGTTCCTGACGGACACCAAAAAAGCCAGAGATTATGGAATTAAACCAATAAATAAAAGCAAGGATAATTGTGTGTTATTGGTGAGTAAATAACAGTGTGTTATTTTGAAAAGAATATCGAATTAGAAGGAAAAATATATTTAAAAATACAGATTTCCGTATTCTGAGGCTTTGAGCCATTTATTTTCCTCACAGACGGAAACAAAAGTCCGAAATTATACGATTTCAAATAAAAGCAATAACTGTGGCTTGATATTGAGTAAGAACATGTTTTTATGAACCACACAGCTTCCGGTCTTCCACGACCCGACCGGAGAAAAAGACCTGCTGCAGGCAGTAGAAATACATTGCTTTTAAAATCGTGCTGTGCAACACGAAAAAAAGGGGCAAATCGTGTTGGTGAACACGAATCAATAGATTAAAAATCGTGTTGGTGAACACGAAATGCCGTGAGACTGGGTTGCAAATAACAGTCAGCTCTTACTGGTCGGTGGCGAGGCTGCAGTCGATCGAGTTGTCGACTGTGTCTGTGTGCTGAATCTCACAGCTAGAGGGAAACACAAATTACATTACATTTTAAACAATATTAGGCAATATCAGTCAGACTAAGAAGTACCCAGGGAGGCTGGAGGAAGAAGACTTCATTATTAAAAACAAGTTATATCAGTCTAAAAAGTACCCAGGGAGGCTGGAGGAATAAGACTTCTCTGCAGCTAGGCTGGTTGTCTTGCTGGAATCAGAGAGGCTGCCACACAAACCCTCCATAGCTTCAATTTGTCCTGGTGGATGTGAGGAAGAAATGAAAGACTTTTAACCTAACAAGCACAGATAGCATTATTTGATTCAAACTGTAATATAGTGTTCAGTACCTGCCACATGTGCGGTGTTGCCATCGAACAAGATGGTCATATTGTAAGACGGTAACTCGACAGTTACTATATTCTGGTCCACGGAGAACTCCACGCCGTTATGCTGCTGCGCGATGCTGCTGAGTGTCAGAATCTGCTCATCAACCTACAAACAACACAAGCACACACATATACACACATATATTAGCTCTGCGTGTGCGCTTGTTCACACTTGGATGTTGTAATGTGTGTACGTCCCCTTTAAATACACCAACACAAAGTAACATCTGGCATGCAATGCTTAAAGTGGACCTATCATGCTATATTTGAATAATATATTGTAGGGCCATACCTTTATAAAACATGTCTGGTATTTTGAAAAAAAAACTTCACAAACAGATCATGCATTTTAGCCATGCCTCATTTAGCTCTATTTGCTCTTTCCAGCCCTGTTTTTGCAAGGGCTGATTCTGTGAGAAGTCTTCTTCGCTGCTTTTGTGGCAGACTACAGCGCCACTTACAGGCCTGGCATATGTACTACAGCGTCTCCAGTGCTTTCGAGCGGCAATGGCCGTGGCCCAACCCCCCATTCCCCTGATAGGTGGAGAGTTGCCCATATAGGCAGAGCTCCCTGTTTCTGACGTCAGAACCATTTCAAATCTGTATCAGCTCCGTTGCAGCCCCGTTTTTAGAGATTTAGGTATGGAGGAAAAGAGAGGGTTGTGTTTTCTGACACTTGGTGAGTTCCCTGACACACGGGGACACATATTCATGTATAAAATACATACAAAAGTGCATTTTGCATGATAGGTCCCCTTTAAACTAACAACCCATGAATACAATGTGAGTTTTGAAGGATTGTGAAAGCTTACCAGAACTCTTCCACCTTGTTCCAGATTAATCATAACGCCTGGAAGTGATATAATCAAACGGTCCAACAAAAGCGCATCTGTACGCCGTCGTTCCCCAAAACTAGCCATGAGGTTGAAATCTGAACTTCCTTCAGACTTCATCAGAGTGTAAACACAGCGGTCAGAAACACAGATCGCTCTGTCGAACACATCGATGACAGTGGAGCTAGTAACAGAGCACACAACGTATTTAATGTGAGGACCAGTAGGTGCAACAGTTGGTGCAACAGTTGATGCATCAGTTGGTGCATCAGTTGGTGCGTCGGTGGGTGCCTCTGTGGGTGCATTAGTTGGTGCTTTAATTGGTGCATCAGTTGGCGCATCAGTTGGTGCGTCTGTGGGTTCATCAGTTGCTGCATCTGTGGGTGCATAAGTTGGTGCATCAATAATTGGGGCCACAGTTGTTGGAGCGGCAGTAGTTGGGGCTGCAGTAGTTGGAGTGGCCGTAGTTGGAGCGGCAGTTGTTGGAGCAGCAGTAGTTGGAACGACTGCAGTGTGAGCAGTTGTAGTTGGGGCCACAGTAATTGGAGCTGCAGTAGTTGGGGCTGCAGTTGTGGGAGCAGCAGTAGTTGGGGCTGCAGATGTCTGAGCGACTGTAGCGGAAGCAGCTGTAGTTGGGGCTGCAGTTGCTGGAGCAGAAGTTGTAGGGGCAGCAGTAGTTGGAGAGGCTGTAGTGGGAACGGCAGTTGTTGGAGCGGCAGTAGTTGGGGCCACAGTTGTGGGAGCAGCTGTAGTTTGAGCTGCAGTAGTTGGGACTGCAGTTGTCCGAGCGTCTGTAGTGGAAGCAGCTGTAGTTTGGGATGCTGTAGTTCGAGCAGCAGTAGTTGGGGCGGCTGTTGTGGGAGCAGGAGTAGTTGGGGACACAGTTGTGGGAGCAGCTGTAGTTGGGGCAGCAGTAGTTGGAGCTGCAGAAGTCTGAGCAGCAGTTGTAGGAGCAACTGTAGTTGGGGCTGCAGTTGTTGGAGCAGCTGTAGTGGGAGCAGCAGTAGTTGGAGCAGATGTAGTTGGGGCCACAGTTGTTGGAGCAGCAGTTTTAGGAGCAACTGCAGTTGGGAATGCATTTGTTAGAGCGGCAGTAGTTGGGGCGGCTGTTGTGGGAGCAGCAGTAGTTGGGGCCACAGTTGTGGGAGCAGCTGTAGTTGGAGCAGTAGTAGTTGGGGCCACAGTTGTGGGAGCAGCTGTAGTTCGAGCTGCAGTAGTTGGGACTGCAGTTGTCTGAGCGGCTGTAGTTGGGGCCAAAGTTGTTGGAGCAGCAGTTGTAGGAGCAACTGTAGTTGGGGCTGCAGTTGTTGGAGCGGCTGTAGTGGGAGCAGCTGTAGTGGGAGCAGCAGTAGTTGGAGCAGTAGTAGTTTGGGCTGCAGTAGTTGGAGCGGCAGTTGTGGGAGCAGCTGTAGTTGGAGCAGTAGTAGTTGGGGCCACAGTTGTGGGAGCAGCTGTAGTTGGAGCAGCTGTAGTTGGGGCTGCAGTAGTTGGGGCGGCTGTTGTGGGAACGGCAGTTGTTGGAGCGGCAGTAGTTTGGGCTTCAGTAGTTGGGGCGGCTGTTGTGGGAGTAGCAGTAGTTAGGGCCACAGTTGTGGGAGCAGCTGTAGTTGGAGCAGTAGTAGTTGGGGCCACAGTTGTGGGAGCAGCTGTAGTTGGAGCAGCTGTAGTTTGGGCTGCAGTAGTTGGGGCGGCTGTAGTGAGAACGGCAGTTGTTGGAGCGGCAGTAGTTTGGGCTTCAGTAGTTGGGGCGGCTGTTGTGGGAGTAGCAGTAGTTAGGGCCACAGTTGTGGGAGCAGCTGTAGTTGGAGCAGTAGTAGTTGGGGCCACAGTTGTGGGAGCAGCTGTAGTTCGAGCTGCAGTAGTTGGGACTGCAGTTGTCCGAGCGTCTGTAGTGGAAGCAGCTGTAGTTCGAGCAGCAGTAGTTGTGGCGGCTGTTGTGGGACCAGCAGTAGTTGGGGCCACAGTTGTTGGAGCAGCTGTAGTTGGGGTCACAGTTGTTGGAGCAGCAGTTTTAGGAGCAACTGCAGTTGGGAATGCATTTGTTTGAGCAGCTGTAGTTTGGGCTGCAGTAGTTGGAGTAGCAGTAGTTGGGGCCACAGTTGTTGGAGCGGCTGTAGTGGGAGCAGCTGTAGTTGGGGCTGCAGTTGCTGGAGCAGAAGTTGTAGGGGCAGCAGTAGTTGGAGAGGCTGTAGTGGGAACGGCAGTTGTTGGGGCCACAGTTGTGGGAGCAGCAGTTGTTGGAGCAACTGTAGTTGGGGCTGCAGCTGTTGGAGCGGCTGTAGTGGGAGCAGCTGTAGTGGGAGCAGCTGTAGTTTGGGCTGCAGTAGTTGGGGCCACAGTTGTGGGAGCAGCTGTAGTTTGGGCTGCAGTAGTTGGGGCCACAGTTGTTGGAGCAGCAGTTGTAGGAGCAACTGTAGTTGGGGCTGCAGCTGTTGGAGCGGCTGTAGTGGGAGCAGCTGTAGTGGGAGCAGCTGTAGTTTGGGCTGCAGTAGTTGGGGCCACAGTTGTGGGAGCAGCTGTAGTTGGAGCAGTAGTAGTTGGGGCCACAGTTGTTTGAGCAGCAGTTGTAGGAGCAACTGTAGTTGGGGCTGCAGCTGTTGGAGCGGCTGTAGTGGGAGCAGCTGTAGTTTGGGCTGCAGTAGTTGGGGCCACAGTTGTTGGAGCAGCAGTTGTAGGAGCAGCTGTAGTTGGGTCTGCAGTTGTTGGAGCGGCTGTAGTGGAAGCAGCTGTAGTGGGAGCAGCTGTAGTTTGGGCTGCAGTAGTTGGAGTAGCACTAGTTGGGGCGTCTGTTGTCTGAGCGGCTGTAGTGGAAGCAGCTGTAGTTGGAGCAGTAGTAGTTGGGGCCACTGTAGTTGGGGTTGCAGTTGTTGGAGCAGCTGTAGTGGGAGCAGCTGTAGTGGGAGCAGCTGTAGTTTGGGCTGCAGTAGTTGGAGTAGCAGTAGTTGGGGTGGCTGTTGTGGGAGCAGCAGTAGTTGGAGCAGCAGTAGTTGGGGTGGCTGTTGTGGGAACGGCAGTTGTTGGAGCGGCAGTAGTTGGGGCGGCTGTTGTGGGAGCAGCTGTAGTTGGGGCCACAGTTGTGGGAGCAGCTGTAGTTGGGGCCACAGTTGTGGGAGCAGCTGTAGTTGGAGCAGTAGTAGTTGGGGCCACAATTGTGGGAGCGGCTGTAGTGGAAGCAGCTGTAGTGGGATCAGCAGTAGTTGGAGCAGCTGTAGTTTGGGATGCAGTAGTTGGAGCAGCAGTAGTTGGGGCGGCTGTTGTCCGAGCGTCTGTAGTGGAAGCAGCTGTAGTTCGAGCAGCAGTAGTTGGGGCGGCTGTTGTGGGAGCAGCAGTAGTTGGGGCCACAGTTGTTGGAGCAGCTGTAGTTGGGGCCACAGTTGTTGTTGGAGCAACTGTAGTTGGGGGTGCATTTGTTGGAGCGGCTGTAGTGGGAGCAGCTGTAGTGGGAGCAGCAGTAGTTGGAGCAGCAGTAGTTGGGGCGGCTGTTGTGGAAGCAGCTGTAGTTCGAGCTGCAGTAGTTGGGACTGCAGTTGTCTGAGCGGCTGTGGTTTGGGCTGCAGTAATTGGAGCAGTAGTAGTTGGGGCCACAGTTATTGGAGCGGCTGTAGTGGGAGTAGCTGTAGTGGGAGCAGCAGTAGTTGGAGCAGCTGTAGTTTGGGCTACAGTAGTTGGAGCAGCTGTAGTTTGGGCTGCAGTAGTTGGAGCAGCAGTTGTAGGAGCAACTGTAGTTGGGGCTGCAGCTGTTGGAGCGGCTGTAGTGGGAGCAACTGTAGTTTGGGCTGCAATAGTTTGGAGTAGCAGTAGTTGGGGCGGCTGTTGTGGGAGCAGCAGTAGTTTGAGCTGCAGTAGTTGGGGCTGCAGTTGTCTGAGCGGCTGTAGTGGAAGCAGCTGTAGTTGGGGCTGCAGTTGCTGGAGCAGAAGTTGTAGGGGCAGCAGTAGTTGGAGAGGCTGTAGTGGGAACGGCAGTTGTTAGGTCCACAGTTGTGGGAGCAGCTGTTGTTGGAGCAGCTGTAGTTTGGGCTACAGT